GTTTTCTCTTTTTGTCTCCTTCGAAGAGCTTTCCGTGCCCAGCCAAGGCTACTCGAGCTTCATGGGGGTTCGCCGCTCGCTTGCAAGAGTCGATCTTCAGCAACCGAACAGACCTTGACACTTTCTAACCAGCAGGGGCCAAAGACCAACTTCGGCAGGGTGTGCCTTACTTTTTGGTTGGCCTCGCCTTTTGTTTCAGGCGAAGTCTCCGTGGGCGGCGAGCTGAATTGTGATCGCTCGAAGAAATACATGATCGTGTGGCATCCGCATGGCTTCATCACCTGGGTGCCTCCAGCTGGAATCAGCGCGTCTCGTGTCTTTAGAAACGAACACCTACAAAAGGAGTTGTATATTTCTGCTTAGCACCGGCTCGCTGTCTAGCTCCGGCTCGGGGGGGGCAATGGTTGGTTGGTTGGTTGGTTGGGTTGGGTTGGGTTGGGTTGGTTGGTTGGTTGGTTGGTTGGGTGGGTTGGTTGGTCGGTCGGTCGGTCGGTGTCCAGACAGCAGCAAGCAGGCAGTGAGACTGAGGCTCTGAAAAGGATTTCAAGTTGCAGCGCAAAACCTCGACGGCGCAAAGCAAGGAAGTTGGCGAGATGGAAACGGCTGGCAAAATCCACGGGGAGCCGCCAGCCAGCTGCCAGCCAGCTGCCGAACACCTTTTGGTGACAAAGCGACCCGCTAGCGAGGAAGGCCGCAACTTCAGCAGTGCTCAGTGTAAAAAGGTATGACAGTCAAGAATCCATGGCTTGCCTGGTTTGCGGATGCTTGGCTGAATTTAGGCTTCCTTTCAGGGCCCCAATCTCCTCTGCTGGGCGGCTGCACTTGTGCCGCGCAAAACCAGCTATACACAAGCGTGGGTAGGCGGCTGGCTGGCGGCTGCCCCGTGCATCTTGCAAGCCGTTTCCATCTCGCCAACTTCCTTGCTTTCCATCTTCCAGGCTTGGCGCTGCATTCTGAAACCCTTTTCAGAGCCTCAGTCTCACTGCCTGCTTGCTGCTGGCTGGACACCGACCGACCAACCAACGCGTTCCTTGAGCAGGAGCTAAGCAAAGAACCTTCCGGCCCACCTGCGAAAACCTGTAAAGCACAAATGGTTTCTGCAAAGCATGCCTCTTTGCCATTGGTGTTTTTTTCTTTCGTGTCGGGGGTCTACTAATTTTGGTGGCGTCCTCTTTGTTTTCGCCGTCTTGCGCGCCGCATGCGGCGGCTCAGGTCCCGTTTTTCCTGGCCGGGAAGTACGCCTTGGACGCGCAGCCGGCCGGGGAGCGCTGGTTCCCAGTGGTGGCCCCGGTGCTCTTCCGGATCCCCATCTTCGGGGAGGTGCTGGCGATCCTGGGGGGCCGGCGAGTGGAGCGGAAGGCGGGGAGCCCCGGGCCCCGAGGATTTTGTTTCTCTTCCCGAAGCACCAAAAGAGGGACGATGAAATAAAACAGACAAAAGCACACCCTCCTCCTTTTTTCCCTTAGGGGTGGGCAGGGATACCATGCATGGGGATCTATCTGGAGACATTTGGGGTTTGAAGCGCGCCATGGGAAGTTCTCCCTCGACTGAAGCAGAAACTACAAGGCATCAGTTGATCTGATCAGAACCTGTAGGGTTTGCTGCCTTGATTTGCAGTAGGAAGCCCCCCGATGTATGAGACCTTCATGGGGCTCGGAATCCGTTCCCTTGAGTTCGCGCGCACGAGGTGGTTCAAGCCGCAACGGAACAACCCGGGCAGACACGGGTCGCAACTCAATCCCACCAGGACAGGCCCCAATCTTCCGTGCTCGGGAGCTCAAAGTCTGACTCAGGTGGTCGAGAAGCTCCTGGCCCGCGGAGACTCCATTGCAACTTGCTGGGGGTAAGGGCCCCCATTTCCCTGCGTCATGTTACGAAAGGGGGGCTGCCATTTTGAATGTCTGAAGGGGTTTGTGGCTCACGATTTGGAGGTTCCCCTTTGTCAGCATTTTGCCCCCCACTAGGCAAGCCTATTCAATCTCAGGCCATTCAGCCTGGGGGTGTGAAGGAGCAGGCCAAGACCAGCGAGGTGCAAGAGCAGGACCTGGACTTGCGAATTGGCAAAGCGGTTGCCTTTGGTTTCCTTTCAAAACAGGGGAAACACCATCGAAATGACGATGACCAGGGCAAGGCCTGGCCCCCTTTCAAGGGAACCAGGACGCTTGAATAGCAACTGCAGCCGGGTCTGTCTCATTGAAAGGATGGGGCGTTTAAAGATATAAAAGGGAGGCCAAAAGGAAAAAGAAAATGCCAACAAGTGCCACATTGCAGGACCAATTTGAAATGGTCAAAGGCTTTCGTATTGCTGCTCGAACTACTCTAAGGAAAGTACACAACGCAAGGTGGCTGGAAAAATGTGCCAGACGGGAATTCCTCAGGGCATGCATTGAAACCCTCAAACGGGTTGAAGGGGTAGCTCAAAACTCAAAACCTTGATGGACGTGGGTACGAATCCAACTGCTGGGTCGGTTAAACATCAATGCCCCATGGCCCTGGATGT